TTAAGGTCAATTGGTTTATTGTGTTGAACATAGAAACTGGCCATCGCTCGAGCGGCTGCAGGGCGTGGTCAGTGAGGTTAAGACGTGCGCACGAGGGTCTGCGATCTTGGGTTTGAGGCCATCGCCCGAGGGATCCTACCTCCACCGAATTGAGGCCATCTTCGGTATTACGGATTGAGGCTATCTCCGTCATAGGCAATAAATGTTAAGTGGTTTGACTTTGGTGAAAGTCTAAATTGGTTTGACCGGTGGTCAAAGAGTTAATGGGAAACCCGTAACACCTAAATCGTTTTGAAAAGAAAGAAAATAAGTTGACTGTTGGTCAACCGTCTAAAGAACCGAATGTAAAGTTGAATTGATTTTTATTAAAAGGATAAACCCGTAACACCTAAATCATTTTGATTATGCTTTATTTAATTAACTTTAATGCTTATTACGTTTTCGGGCAAGATCCCAAGTTGTTTGACTTTAAAAAAAGGCTTCCGCATTATTTTAAATTACTCCGATGGATTTTTATATGTATTGATAGAACGTTTGTTTAAAATTGTTTTGAAAATGTCGCAAATTCGGATACCAATTCAGTGGCACACCGGTCCGCTGTCTCACGGGTTTGGGTCATGCGGGTTGGGGTGTTACACACATGGTGTCAATCGCCTAATCAGATTTTGTACGTGTCGTCTAACGGTCACACGCTGCACTCGTCGTCACTATACGGTTGTCATTCGTCGTCGTCATGTGATCGTCGTCATTTGTATTCTTTTGTGTTAGGTTTGTCAGTTCTATGCATCGGTGATTATCGATATACGATCTCGTCTGGTGTACGGCGTACCTTAGTCGTCATGTCCCTGAGAGTGTATCGTACGCCCTACATAACTCGCATAGTTCGTGTGGTGTTAATAGCAAAGTTCTCGTCGATTCTTCTCGTCTAAGTCACATCGTGATGCGAGTATAATCTTTCGGGTGGTGTGTCTACGTGAAGTTGCGTCCCACACTTTCGTCGTGTTTGTCTGCTTCAGCTTCGTACCCTCGATGGGTCGTTCATGGTCAGCATACTCGATGTAGTTTAGTATTCAAGATTATCACGATTTACTCCTTTCAAATGGTACGTAGTGATATCATAACTTCATGTTATTGGCGCACATTCAGGGGTTCGTCCCAAAGTTTCAGGTGGCATTCAATTTATTGACATGACATTAATAGTAATGTATTCGACATTAAGTGCATTCATCGATCTCGGAGTAGGTTCACCCTTCGCGAGTCGTAACCTAAAATTTTCAATGGCATAGTCGAGATTAAACTGATTCATTCTTTGGTTCATTAAAGTTATTTCTCAATCAATTCTCTGAGTCATACTAACGAGAGTAAGTGGGGCGCTCTACTAACGTCACCACTATCACTATCGGCGTAACTAATACGTGCTAACTAGACTTGTAACGGATCAGGAGTCCTTCAACAGTGCACCCACTAACGGTCAAACACATCTCTACATGTCGATGTTGTAACTTCTTTCGAGTCTGCTTCATTCGTTTCGTCCTGTCGATCAAGGTCCGTCGGTACATCAGGTCTTGCTAGATAGATTATTCATGACGTTCTTTTGGTTTGTATCCAGCCACTTCGCTACATCATGACATGCTGGTGGTAAGTATTGCTTTCTTTAGTAATCATGCAAGTTATCCTTGTCCTTTATACGTCATTACCATTTGTTACCAAAATAAGATTCCCTCATCCATCCAGGTCTACAGCCCCTTCAGAACTTGGTTATCCATTCCGATGATCAAATGAGATAACTGAATATTGGACAGATATTTTATTATGTGTACATTGTTTTACTCGTTTTTGTTGTCACCTAGCATCTCGACGTTAGAGTTTATGCTAACGTCCACCTTATAGTAGTAGGTTCCATCTATAGGAGGTGAATTCTCATCTTAGTCTATCGCATTTCAGTATGCACAGTAATCAACAATTTGCAGCTCAACACAGATATTCCAACAGTCGACTTTAACACAGACATTCAAGCAATCAGCTTCCTACAAGTATTTGAGCAATTAGCTCAGCACGACTATTCGAGCAATCAGTTCAGTTCAAACAACTTGAGCAATCAGCTCCATACAAACATTTAATCAATAAGACTAATTTATTACCTTCCCGGAAGGCAGAGCTATCGTGGAGGATGCGGATGCAGTACTCAGAATAACTTTTGCCATTGTTATTATTATCAAAATAATGCTATTTCCACTTATTTATTTCCAAAATAGTACTTGCAATGGTCCAAAGACCGATTTTAAAACCATATGCTCCGATACCAAAATGTAACACCCCAACCCGCATAACCCGAATAAATAGGTTAGCAAACCCGGTTGCTACTAGATTGGTATCAACATACAATATTTCCCAATAAATTAAAACATTTAATTTGAAACCCAAACGACTTAAAATCAATTTAAATACATATTGGAGTTTATACAAACAGTGCGAAAGCCTTATAATTAAATCAAACATTAAATCCCTGCATCCGTACATCTCCTCCGTCATGCTGCTCTCCGGGATGGATTCCAGAATCAATCTACCACAACCACCTACGTGTAGCAAATAGGAAAAAGGCTACACGCTCAGCATTGAAGCTAAGTGAGAAATATCTAACAGTTCGAACATACACATAGGCGAACCCACTAATTCACAATTATCACATGATATCATGCACACAACATGCTTGGCAACAACCATATGGCATCCAAGATATAACATGCATAATCAACGTCATAACAGTTCATAGGATACAAACAGCATCCGTATATGTATTAGGAACTTTCCTTTTTAGTTTACTTCACTTTCTTTATCGTAATTGGCTCTTAACCTATGCTAGGTTGAAGCTTAACTGAATTCGACTTGCCTATGGAGTCATGACCTTCCCCTTCGGAATGAAGGTCAAGCTCAAACCAACTCGGGAGTTCCCCGTTGGGTGGGTGAGATTCCTGTCCCCTTCCGAACGACAGTTCTTAGAACCCCGTGTACACGTTTTTACCCGAACAGCCATTGGACCTAACAGGTACCACATGGCTCTAACTTACTATACTTACGGCATACCTTGCCACTAATCCATTCAGGTCATTTCCTAGAGTTCTTCTAGGTGATATATCCCATAATCATCAATCAATACATAATACAACATTCATAAATCCATAATGCATTTAACAAGATATCTAACATAATCAAATAGCGGCCTAACACTGGGTGTAAACACCCATGTTTACCGTCATGCAACACACGAAGTCTCGGAATCAATCCTTGACGAACACACAGATCGACAGACCCGGCACCAGGTACCAGACAGTACCTGTCACGGTACGGGGTACCGTCCTCACGGTACCGGAGTACCGGTCCTACGGTACTGGGGTACCATCCAAACCAACTAAACCCAGCCGGTGGGCCTGTCACGGTACCATCCAAACCAACTAAACCCAGCCAGAGGAGATATAACCAAATAGAGTGTGACGGTAGCACGGTACCGTCCTGGCAAGACCGCCTACCGTCTGATGCAACCAATTCCATATTCATACATGTTCCGTTTTTCACCATCAAACCAACATCAATCTCATAATCAACAAACACCATTATATTCGTAGTAACGTTCTAAACATTATCAAGCACGTCAATTCATCAATCAACACCTAATTCATACATACTGCCCTTTTTGGTTTAACAACAACATATCCCAAAACCACAATCAACAATTATACAGATAAATCACACAGATCAACCACGATAACAATTATGAACGGAATTTCAAACCTAGATGCATATTCTAGTGTTAGATGTTCACGTACTCACCTCGATTCGTTGATTCGAATTCAAAGAACCCTTATTTGAACGGAGCGTTGACGGAGTCAACTATACCCTGCTGCCCCAATTTTGATCGTTGATGTGCAAAGATCGTCGAGGTGCTACCACCACTGTCCAGAACCGCCCACTGCTGCCCAGGCCTGCCCGAACCAAACCGAGCAATACCCAGTCGTCGCCGGTCGCTAGAGCTCACTAGTTCGCCGGCTATTTTCTCGCCACTCACCGGAGAAGTTGAGGGTCAGACCATCCTCGTCCTTGTCAAGACTCCACCTTGCCGCTGACGTGGTCACTGGAATGGCCGGTCGCAACTCTGCGCCGATCGTTCTCGTCGAAGGACTATCGCCGCTGGTTTGGCATCGCTAAATCGACGAAGGAGAATTCTTGTCGCCATCGATCGGGTCGTTGCGCCACTAATCCGAGGAAGCTTCCAGAAATCAAGAGAGGGAGAGAGAGAATCCCTCGGTGTCGGCGCTGATCAGAGAAGAAGGAACGGCGATGGGGGTCTGCGGTTGGCGGCCTTGAATCAGGAACGAAGAAGATGAGACGGTTGAGTTGCATATTAGAGTATTTATTTATATAGGGTTTTGTGCTCCCTAATTTAAAATAACGTGTCTGAGTAAAACACACTTTTCGGGCCAACTTGCTCCGAATTGAGATCTGTTCGCGTCGTTGGATTCGATTCGTCGATCACTACCCAACGTTATAACTTTTATATTCAATTCACAAACATTTATATGTTCCACTCGTTCCGTCTTAATTCCTTCGATTAATTAGTACCGATCAGTCCTTTAATTTAAATCTTCACAAATATAATCAGATAAATCTCGTTATATTAAGACGGTTAGAATCTCTAAAATATATTTTAATTCTCTAAAAGAATAGATCGTCGTAAATAAATAATTATTTTTATTTAATTATTGATAAACTACTAGACCGGTTTCTAGGGCGTTACACAACGAATCTCCAAGAAAAGTCCTCTTCCAAGAGGCACCGAGCTCGAAGAAAAGTCCTTTTCCCCGAGGCACCAAGTCCTCTTCCAAAGAAGCTCAAAGTCCCAAGAGAGTCCTCTTCCAAGATGCCAAATCTCCGAGAAAAGTCCTCTTCCAAGAGGCACCAAGTCCTCTTTGCTGAGGCACCAAGTCCTCTTCCAAAGAGGCACAAAGTCCCAAGAAAGTCCTCTTCCAAGAGGCCAAATCTCCGAGAAAAATCCTCTTCCAAGAGGCACCAAGTCCTCTTCCAAGAGGCACCAAGTCCTCTTCCAAAGAGGCAAAAAGTCCCAAGAAAGTCCTCTTCCAAGATGCCAAATCTCCTAGAAAAGTCCTCTTCCAAGAGGCACCAAGTCCCCTACCCGAGGCACTAAAAAGAAAGAAAGGTCCTCCTCTAAAGAGGTACAAAGTCCCAAGAAAGTCCTCTTCCAAAAAGGCACAAAGTCCCGAAAAAGTCCTCTTCCAAGAGGCATTAAGCCCCAAGGAAATCCTTTTCCAAAAGGCTCAAATTCCTGAGAAAAGTTTTCTTCCAAGAAGCACAAATCCCTGAGAAAA